TAATTATTAAATCCTCAAGGATGTTCTGGAGCTTTGTGAGGCGTCAATGTCATTGATGAAAACTTGAGCTAGGTTCTACTGTCAAAATTTAAATCCAAGACAATAAGTTAGATCCGAGACAATAATCAGAAATCGTTAAAATCATAATATCGTATATATACAATATATATGCATGTATGTATGACAAACATTTTAACTATATCTATTTTATAATCCACACTTTTTTCTATGAGAACTGAAACTTGATTTATTTTAAATTTAATTAAATTATAATTGATCATTTTTATTAGCACAGTAGTAAAAACTTAATTTTCTTAGACTCTCTGAATTCTTATAATTAAAAGAAAATTTTGTTAGCCGAAATTTTAGTTATATCCAATATATAGCATTTGACTTATTTATTTAAAACAAAGCTTGAAAAATTGACTTTAAAACAAGACCTTGTCACACACACACACACACACAGCCCTCCAGCATTAACAACACTTTAAGTGAAATTGACGTGTGAGGAAAGTTTTGCCACGTGGACAAGTTAATGTCAAGTCTAAAAAAGAAAAAACTAACAACAAATGCACACAATGCGCCGACTGCATGCGAAATTTGATTTATAAAATATTTATTACTAAATGCATTTGATGTATTTGGCTTTAGTTATTTATTTCCTATGCGAATAGCATTTCTGTTAATTGTACTCGATCAATACGCCACATCTCCTATCCTCTGATTATCTCACAGGAAGCAGAAACAATGTGCAACTTAGGTGACATCCTGTATTTGTACGTCCTGTAATTATTTGAAATTTATAGAACGAAATGAGCCCGCACACTGGAGCATTCTTGCAGTGTAGCTACAATGTGACTTACAGTTGGGGGTATTTTCATTGCAGCTTAAAATTTCAGTGTGCCAAAGAGGTCAAGCTTGTTGCCTCGAAATATGAGTTGAGTAGAGGTATATTGCATTGAGAAAATACATACATATATGAAATGAGTGTATCAACTAAGTTAAGCCGGTTTCATGTGGTATAGTACACATAGACATGTACGTAGACTTAACTGTTAACATTTATTATTCTGATGCCAGACCTGAGTTGCAAAAAGTTAATAGATATTGGACAACAAAAGCGGATGTTCTTAAAGCATTCGACAGAGCTAGGTGCTGAAGAGGAAGCATGATATCTAATATTGTTGTATATACGTGGCTGTATGTGTGCTTGTGTATATATAAGACTTCAAGCAGAGGTTGTCTTTAGAGATGCCTTTAAATTGTCCTTAATGCATATATCTATAATATAATATATCGATTTATCTATATCTATCCATCTTTATATACATCTATTCATCGATCTATCTAACCATCAATCCATCTTTTTATCTCTCTATCTATCCATATATCTATCTATAGGATAGTTGTATGTCCTATATTTTTATATAATATGCATTTTATTCCACATATTGCATTTTATATATTTTTTTTATTGATTGACTTTATTTATCTATCCACCTAATACGATTTAAATCTTGTTTCATTGCAGTGATACGTGAGTAGAGCGATGTATATTACATGTTTTGGTACTTTAAGCCCGTTTATAAATAGAATTTCGCCGACAAATATCAGGTATTTACAGTGAGATCTTCGAATGAATTAAAATGCCAGCATCGAATTTGCGGTCTATTTAATAAATACAAAATGTTCGTTTATCTCTTGACCCGGCGCGAACTATTTGTAATATTTACGTGTTTGTCTACA